TCCACACGACACAGATCACCGGAGAGGTTCCACTTTATTACAAAAGGCTGTGGGGTTTATATAGACCTAAGGAGAGGTAGCAGGGCTGAGGTAGATAACGGGTTGCCTGTTTATTGGCAAGCTCTTCCATATGTCAGTTCCGGAGCCCAAGAAGTTAATTCTTATTGGGGTTAAGGTTTCCCACCCACATTGGCGCGCCAGTGAAAGAAAAAAAGAGAAAGAGGGCCGTTAGGCGCCATGTTGGGGTTTTTCTTTGGGGTGCTGCTGCCGTTATATGTTTTCCCAACATCAGGTATTTTCCCTGTCTCACTCTGATTGGTGGTTGCTAGGGTGTTGCTATTGGTCCTCACCTAGGGTAACTGAGTCAGGGACACCTGGTACTGCAGATCTGTCCAGTTATTTACAGACAAACAACTCAGTAGGGTGAGAACCCTAGCCAATCACCCCTACCCAACTTGTTCCCAACAGTGAATGTGCTAATCATGTTTTAGAATGGTTGTTTGATTTTCCCGCAGTCTGTGATGATTTGCTATGAGACGCTATGATGTATGTGGGGTCCCTGCCTTCCCCAAAGAATGTATAAAGCTGCTGCAAACCCTGGGCTCGGGGCCTCTCAGCGTCACCAGTTGCTGTGTGCGCGCGGAGGACCAAGTAGCTTGCAATAAACACCTCTTTGCTGCTTACATCAATCTTGGTCTCTGGTGGTCTTTTGGGGGTCCCAAATTCGAGCATAACACCAGTCCTATAATGCTTAATTTAGGGACATTTCTGAGAAATGCATTGTAAGACAATTTCGTTGTTGTATGAACACCATACTTATACAGATGACTAAGATGTCCCTAAGTGATACAATCTCATGGGACCACTCACGTATAGTCTGTCATTGACCAAAATGTCATTATGCAGCACAAGACTACTGTAATCACAAAGCCAAGCCTCACTTATTGTCCTCTGCATTTTTTTAAGCGGTTTGTTTATTTATTTTTGGTCCTGGGGATGAAACCCAAGACATTATGCATGGTAGGCAAGTGCTCTACCACTGAATTATATCAAAGCTATTAACTTTGACACTGCTCTCAGAGAACCATGCCACTAATTGGTATTGCTCCGCTTTATCTTTTTTTAAAAAGTATTTTTAGTTGTAGATGGACACAATACCTTCATTTACTTTTATGTGATGCCAAGGATCAAACCCAATGCCTCACATGTGCCAGGCAAGTGCTCTACCACTGAGCTAAAACACCAGCCCTTTCCCCTGTATCTTTAATTGCCTTTGTCCTTTTAAACCTCAGCTAAGCTCTCAACATCAAGTGTGTAGTTTTCTTTAAATATTTTTAAGATGTTGATGAACCTTTGTTTTTATTCATATGCAGTGCTGGTAATTGAACCTGGTGCCTTACATGTGCTAGGCAAGCGCTCTACCACTGAGCCACACAGCCAGCCCAGGTGTGTAGTTTTCTTCTAATGCAAATTCTTGCCTCCCACCCTTTGCCACTCCCACTTGTTCCCAAGTCTCCATTGTGATTCTTCAGCCCTAAATTGCCAGAGGATTTCCCTTACCCTTGCAGCATTTACTTACTGAGTCTTCTAGATTCTGATCCTTCCCCAAGGATCCCTAAATGAAAGAAGGTACTGAGGGTACAACTCAGGACATATTTGTGGCATAGGCTAAATGACAAGAAATGGCTGGAAAAGGGGCCTAAGTGCCAACAAAAAATTCTCATGCACTTTCCCTCAGTGCCTTAATACCTAGGGCTCCCTCTGAAAGGACAAGCTAGATGTACTGCTACAAGCTGTGTCATCTGAAGTGATGTCCATATTCAGTCAAGTCACTGTGCCATTTCCTTCCACATGTAAGTGACTCTGGCAGGGAACTAAGAGAGTAGGAAAATAAACTGCTCAAGATTTTTCTCTTTTCAGTGCTGAGGATCAAACCCAGGGCCTCATGCATGCTGGTTAGGTGCTCTACCACTGACCCACCCATTGAGCCCAATGGTTGCACTTATATATGTTGTACTCTGCCTTCCAAGAACCTCTTCCTGTCTTTACCTGTAGTGTTTGAAGGACAGAAGAATCCTTAAACCTGAGAATAAACCTCAACTTTGGCTTAGCTCCAACTCTGGTCACAAGTCCCTTCTACTTGATCTGCATCCAGAGGTATGAGTGTGCAGCTCAGGGTCCCAGTTAGGTGGGAGGGCATGACTCCAGGGCAAATATCTAGCATGTGTGAGGCACTGGGTTCGATCCTTAGCACCACATAAAAATAAACAAAGGCATTCTCTCCATCTACAACTACAAAAAAATTTTTTTAAAAAGAATGCATTACTATACTGGGCCAGGCCTAGTGTCACCAGTCCTTGTAATTTCAGAAACTTGGGAGGTGGAGGAAGGAGAGATTGGGAAGTTAGAGGTAAGTCTGCAATTTAGGGAGGCTATCTCAAAATTTTAAAAAATAAAAGAATAAAAATAAAAAAGGGTGGGGATGTGGCTCTGTGGCAGAGTACCTCTGGGTTCAATCCTGCTTAAAAGAACATCATGTGAAGATTGTATTTTTGCAATATCTCTTAATTTTATGGTGGAAAAAGTACCAATTTCTGAAAGAAAAAAAAATGCTCCTTTTTTGGTCAAATTTGAGAAGTGGTTTTAACTTCTTTGTCTTAAAGCTTTTTTGAATCATTCTGTCCCCACCCTCTCATGAGTGGGGGTAATGAAGGCCCTGAAATAAAAATATAAAGGAGAAATTAGAAGCTGCTAGATTATCAGATTATTGAACATTAATTTTTCCTTCTCCTTCCTTTTTTTTTTACAGTACTGTATTTGACACCAGGTCTCATACAGCTAGTGCTGTACCCCCAGCCCTTTTTATTTAGAGACAGGGTCTTGGTAAATTGCCCAGGCTAGCTTCAGACTTGAGATCCTCCTGCTCCAGCCTCCCTGGTAGTTGGGATTGAGCAGGTTGTGCCACCACATACATCTTAAATTTGGTAATCAGTGTTCTACTTTGGATTTTCCATAGGGGGAAAAAATCTATCTCATCTACCAAAATCTAAAGAAAACTTGTAGTCAGGTCATTTACCTCCTCTGGGATGAATAGTCTCCCATTTATATAAGCTGTGTTGTGAAGTTCAAGGACAACTAGAAATTAGAATCTTGACCCTGCATCCAAAAAAGTCATATAAATGGTGAAACAAGGGTTCCAGCTGTTTCAACAACTACAAGATAGGTTTCAGTAATATTATATAATACTTCTAACGAGGACACATTCTCTAGGGAGGCTGAAGCAGAATAACAAGTTCAAGGTCAGCCTTGGCAATTTAGTGAGATGTTGCCTCACAGTAAAAATTTTAAAAGGGAGGGCTCTGGGTATGTAGCTCAGCTATAGAGTATTTTTGCATAGTAAGGGCAAGTCCCTGGGTTCAATCCCCAGTACCTGCCCCACCCCCCACAATTTACATAATAATGGAGGGACGTATTACCAATCTAAAATGAAGAAAGATTACTGATGAAAACACCCACATTTATTTTGATAGGGGATTGAACCCAAGGTCCTTTCACAATTGAGCTACTTCCCCAATTCCTCCCTTTTAAAATTTCAAGACAGGTTCTCACTGGGATTCCAAAAAGTTGGCCTTCAATTTGCAATCCTCCTGCCTCAGCCTCCCCAGTTACTGGGATAACTGATATGCACCACCATACTTTTCCCCCCAATTTCAGGGTACCGGAGACTGAACTCAGGGGCACTTACCATTGAGCTAATTTAATTTCTTAATGTGAATTTTTAGACAGGGTGTCACTAAGTCATATCAATAAATGAACAATAGCTAGGAAGAAGGGTATCAGAAACTGGATGCTTTTCTCTGACTTCTGACCCCTCGTTCATCAGGTCAGGCAATACCAATGGAGATAGTGATTAAGGAGGTAAACAATGGGCTTCACCAGCTGTATAAGGGACCCTGCCATGCCTTAACCCTTCTCCATCAGCAAGACCTACCATACAATTTACTATATAGTAACTTCAATTATAATCCACAGAAGGCTGGTTTTCTGTAATAGGATATTGTCTTACAAGTGTTTGTAGCCAGGTGTGGTGTATATATCTGTAATGCCAGTGATTTAAGAAGCTGAGACAGGAGGATTCCAAGTTCAAAGCCAGTCTCAGCAAAAGCGAGGTGCTAACTAAAAATACAAAATAGGGCAGTACCACCTCCCCAACAAAAAAATGTCCTTTGTCTCAGAGAAGTGGTGGAATTCCACATAATAGCAGCATATCTTTTGGGGTCAGGTAATTGTCAGACTACATACACTGTGAGAAGCAAAACTATATACCAGACTAAGCACTGTCATTCATCAAGAGAATTTCCTGTGTTTAGGCCAAGAAATTATGACTACTGCAGTGATTCATGCCCATAATCTCAAGTGATTTGGGAGGCTGAAGCAGGAGGGTTACAAGTTCAAAGCCAGCCTCAGCAACTGAGCAAGACTCTGCTTCAAAATAAAACAAAAAAGGGATGTAGCTCAGTGATAGAGCAAGTCTGTGTTCGATTCCCAGCACACACACACATACACACAAAGTGACTATAATTTTTTTTCCCCCCCAAAAATGAGAATTTAGGGCTGGGGACATAGCTCAGTTGGTAGAGTGCTTGCCTTGCATGCACAAGGCCCTGGGTTCAATCTCCAGCACCAAAAAAAAAAAGACAGAATTGAACACAGCACTTCTGCATGCATGCTATAAGCACCCTATCACTAAGCTACATTCCCAGTCCTCTACTTTTTTTTTTCTTTAAGTCAAAAACATTAATTCTGGGGTGTTGGGAATCAAATATGTTACGTAAGTGCTGTACTACTGAGCCACACTCCCAGCCCCACAATCATGTCAAATAATTAATTACATAGTAATATGTCAATGATCAGGTAAAAGACATCTGTCTCAAGGATCTGTGTTTTAAAATCGCAAATGAATCTTAGCAGGTAGAATTTCAGACAAAATAACAAAAAAGTAAAAAATAAAAATCATGTTGTAGATATACATAGGAGATGGGGGTTGACATTCCAGGTAGTTTATATTGAGAATGTACATGTATATATACCTCCTTTTATTCACTTCTGCTTCCCATTGCTTTCTCCCTTTATCCAAGACCCAACCTAGAAACTTAAATAACACCAATAGTTGTGGAGATCCCTTCTCCTTCATTCACCCAGTGAGAAGTTTTGAGAGGCAGGGGATATCACATCAGAGAGAAGACAGTACACCAGGATTTAACTGTATAAGTAACAGGCTTACTTTGTATTATTGTTCATAATAATATATAGTTATCATGTTATAAAAATATATGATAAAATCGTGTGTGTGTTTGTGTGTGTGTGCATGTGCACGCGTCCTGCTGAGGACTAAACATCCTGCAAGCTAGGCAAGTATTCTACCACGGAGCTGCATCCCCAGCCCTGTGATAAAATCTTGTAAGAAACTGAATGTACTGAAGCTTGGCAACTCTTTTTAAGAGATCAGAATAAAACTGCACTGGCTGTCTAAATTCACTAATGTTTTTTCATTCTCTTTGATTTTTTCTCCTGATCTTCTGTTATTCTTTCTGCAGGTCGTTTTTTCAACCCCTTCATTTTCCTAGTTTGTAGTTTGCTTAGGTCTTGCTTTTGCATATGAATCCTTCCATAAGTTGTACCAAAAGTATCATGGGAGATATTTTTCTTCTTCTTTGGCTACAAAACAAAGAGAAAAACGTGTGAGTGTGTGCATCTTTTTTTTTTTTCCTTTTTAAATGGCATTTTACTTTAATGAATTGCTAAAAAAACAAGAGCTCAACAACTATCTTAGTAACAATTTTCATCAATGAGTGTCCCCTCAATGGTACATTATAGCATTATATACCTTTCTTTTCAAACATAACCATCCATACCTATCACTTGGGAATCCTGTTAAAATGCAGATTCTAATTCAGTAGGTTTAAGGTACAGCCCAATATTGTGTGTCTCTAATAATTCCCAGGAGAATTGTCAGACCACACTGTGAGAAAACACTAACTGCTGTCATACATCAAGAGAATCTCCATGTTGAGTTTAAGAAATTGTGACTATCATTTTTCCATCTCTAATATCATTCCAGAGGTAACATGTCTACTTTCTAAAACCACTTAAAAATCAAAACATATTTTATGCACATATGGTTTATACATCCTTGCTCTAAATCCCCAGTCTTCACAATGCCTTTAATGATTCTTTTTTGCTAAAAATGTCAGTCCTGGCTACCAGAAAGCTCTAAGCTAAACTTGATGCCTGTTTTTGTTTGTTGAACTGATAATTGAACCCAGGGGCGGGCTCTACTTTTGAGCTACATTCCCAAACCTTTTTATTTTATTTTTGAGACAAAGTCTAAGTTACCAAGCTGGCCTCAAATTTGCTATCCTCCTGACTCAGCCTCCCAAGGAGCTGGGATTATAGGTGTGTGCCATACCTTGATGCTTGGTTTCTGTAACTCTTTTTATTATTCTTTATGGTTATCTTTTTGGCTCTTTCTCCCTTTCCTGACTCTGACTCTAGCTTTATTTATTTATCTTTTTATGTATGTCCTTTAATACATTGCAAATCCTTTTGGAAAGAAGGGTGGAATATAAAAATAAATATGGCACCAAGTTATAGGTCACATACCTTGAGAGCTTTTGGCATTTTCATGGATAATTTATAAAGGTCATCTGACGCCAGGTGTGTCCTCCTCACAACCAGATCCAATGAAGGTCCCATCTCTTCCAATTCAATCCGTGGTGTTCTGCAACCAGATTTCTTCAACAGCAACCTTAATAAAATAGGAAAAAGAAATACTGCTTTGATTTTTATAAAACTCCTCCCCCCAAAATACTCCTGTTCAAGGGATTTATACTTACATATAGTGACATATTTAGAAAGGCCAAGTTTCTGGCTTTTTTGTTTTGTTTTGATACCAGAGATTGAACCTAAGGTCGCCAAACCACTGCACCATACCCCTAGCACTTTATTTATTTTTTAGGTGTAGATGGACACAACACAATGCCTTTATTTTTATGTGGTGCTGAGGATGGAACCCAGGTTCCGCCCGTGCTAGGCAAGAGTTCTACCGCTGAGCCACAATCCCCCCAATCCAGTACTTTTTTAATATTTTATTTTGAGATAGTCTTACTAAATTGCATGCACCACCACACCCAGCCAGGCCAAGCTCCTTAAACACTTTAGAAATTAGACCAAGTATATCCTTTAGTTTATTTCTAAAAGTCAGAAGTCAGAAATATACTTGGGAGACTGAGGCAGGACAATCACAAGTTCAATGGCAGCCTAGACAACTTAGCAAGACCCTATCTCATAAAATTAGAAAAAGGACTGGGGATGTAGTGTTTGCCTAGCAGGTGAGAGGCCCTGGATTTACCCAGTACCACAAAATATAAAACAAAGCTCAAAATATATATTTTTTTGTTGTGTGTGTGGGGATACTAAAGATTGAAGTCAGAGGTGCTTTATCACTGAGCTACATCCCTAGTCCTTCAGTCTTACTATTTTTTAAAAATCCTCTGACAGGGCCTAATTTTCTGAGCTGGGCCTAGAACTTACAATCCCCCTGCCTCAGCCTCCTGAGTCACTGGGATAGAGGTGTGTGCTACCATGCCTGGCACAAAACCCAAATTGAACCACTTCCTTCACCTTATCCCATCATACATACTGTACTATTTTTCTTAAGAGAAATGCTTCAGGGCTGGGGATACAGCTCAGTTGGTAGAGTATTTGCCTCACATACCAAGCCTTCATACTTTCAGCCAAATATCTACTGACCAGAACTTTATACCACATGGCTAATACTCATCTCATAATCCAATCTGGTTTTTTTTTTTTTTTTGCTTTTCCTATATAAGCTCTAAATCAAAAGTAATAACATTAGTTCTGCAAGATGGTATGGTACAAAAATCAGGGACACAAAGACAAAACCCTGTTACTTCTCTTTCAGATGGGCTCAAGTTATAGACATGCTAATTGCAATCCCTATGTTTAAATATCTGCCCATTTCTTGAGAAGACTGATATTACTACTCTTGATCCTCCTGCATCAGCCTCCCAAGTCACTGGGATGACAGGTTACCACTTCCCATTTGGCCTATTTAACTCTATAAAACCTAATCAATGTCATGGCAAAGGCATATGTGGTATTTACTAAAGATTTTGTTTCATATTAATGATTTTGAACCTATAGTGAATAAAATTTTCCAAGGAATACAAATGATACACACAAATGAGTAATTAATTATCATAAGATGTACAGGAGGAACTGGGAGCGGTGGCGCATGCCTGTAATCCCAGCAACTTGGGAGGCTGAGGCAGGAGGATCAGGAATTCAAAGCCAGCCTCAGCAGATTAGTGAGGTACTTGGCAACTCAGCAAGACCGTTTCTAAGTTTTTATATAAAAAAGAGCTGGGGATGTGGCTCAGTGGTTAAGTGCCCTGGGTTCAATCCCCAGTACAAAAAAAAATGTACAGCAGGAGGTCATTAATACTATGATTATTCAACCAAAATGACATGTTGAAGGTTATATCAATTTCACATTCAAAGTTCCTTTCATTCAAGAAGCTAAAAATCATTTTATAAGCCTTATTAATTTTCACAAACAATGTCTGTGAATATTAGCTTACCTTTTACAAGCTGCTTATGGGCTAATATGCAGTAAGAGAGAGGGCAAGGACACAGTAGTACAGTTCATGAGAATGGCTGAGGTGCTGAGTTAAGTGAGAAAGACTTCTCTAGCATATTCCTACCTACATCTGTACCCTTTTCCCTCTTATAAAGGAAAATGATTGATTCCAGAATTTGCTGATATCATTCAGAAATACCTAAATGCTATTACTACACTTTTTAAAGGAAGAAATAAGGCCCTGAGAAATGACCTGGGGCCAGGTCACCAGGCTCAGAGATGACTCCCATACCTGGAAACATCCTTCTTCAATTTTCCACACCTCCCAAGCAGGGCCTATCCTTGCTAAGCTGTCATACATTTAGTGATTCTTTCCAGTAGTTCCCTCTTCATCACACTGCCCATTCTCTATTTCAAGCCAATGGCTAGCAGGTATTAGAGGTCAAATATGGAAAAACTGTGATTTAATTTCCTACTAGGGTCTCTGGTTTTATTTTACTTTTTTTTTCCCCCAATGGTACTGGGGATTGAACCAGGGGCACTTTACAAATGAACCACATCTCCAGCCTTTTTATTTTCAGACAGGTCTTGCCAAGTTGCTAAGGCTCCTTTCTCAATCTTCTGAGTTGCTGCGATTACAGGTGTGTAACATGGAGCCTGATCCATAACACTTTTTATTTTTTGCACTGCTGGGGATTGAACTCAGGGCCTCACACATGCTAGACAAGCACTCCACCACTGAGCCATATCCTTAGCCTTATAATACATTTTGGTTTTTTAGAGAGAGAGAGAATTTTAATATTTATTTTTTAGTTTTCGGCGGACACAACATCTTTGTTTGTATGTGGTACTGAGGATCAAACCCAGGCCGCACGCATGCCAGGCAAGGGCGCTACCGCTTGAGCCACATCCCCAGCCCCCCTACAATACATTCTTGAAAGCCCCCATATCAAGTGAGGAAATGCAAACAACACACTTAAAAAAAAAAACTTCAATTTTAACTAGTTAAAAAATAATGGCAAAGCTCCATCAGGTACAGTGGCACATGCCTGTAATCCCAGCAACTCAGAAGGCTGAGGCAGGAGACTTGCGAGTTCAAAGCCAACCTCAGCAACTCAACAAGGCCCTATGCAACTTAGCAAGACCCTATCTTAAAATGAAAACTATAAAAGGTCAGGGATGTGGCTCAGTGGTTAAGTCCCCTGAGTTCAATCCCCAGTATACGACCCCCCCAAAAAAAAACAACTCTTAATTGTATCTTGCAATTAATAGATATTTTATTGTATTTTGCCTTATTATTTTTTTGTGTGTATGTAGTGGTAGGGATTGGGACAAGAGCTTCACGCATGTTAGGAAAGTGCTGTAACACTTGACTACATCCCCAGTCCCTATTATTTTACTTTCAATGAAAGGAAAGAGCATAAGTGGTACTATTAGTCATATGGTGGGAAAAACTAAGTAAGCACTTCTGACTCAGTTCAGTTGAGATCATGATGAAAATTATTAAACAAGAGGTGAATGTTTATTTTCATTTGGATATGTCATTAGACATAGTTAGTCAGCTAACTCTTGTTATGAATAAAAATGAAAATCACCTTAGCCAGAAGTGGCAGTAAATGCTTTTAAGTCTCAACACTTGGAAGACTGAGGTAAGAGGATCACTTGAGGCCAGGAGTCTGGGGCTAGCTGAGCTGTCACAGCAAGACTCTATCTCCCTGGGGCTGGGGCTGGGGCTGTAGCTCAGTGGCAGAGCGCTTGCCTAGCATGCTTCAGGCACTGGGTTCGATCCTCAATACCACATAAAAATAAACAAATAAAATAAAGGCATTCTGTCCATCTACAACTACCACTACCAAAAAACAAAAAAGACTCCATCTCCCAAAAAATTGGACCAAAACAAACCAAAACTCTCTGTTTGAAATTCTGGACATAAATGATTGTACAATAGTACTGATGAACAGAAGATACCGTCAACACTCAGCTGCTAGCTTACAGGCTGTATTACCAGGCCACTGCTCAAAATGTCCAGAAACAAAACTCATTGTACAAAGAAAGGCAGTTTGGAGAGTCAGCCCAATTTCTAGGAAAGTGAGGCTCTATCAGCCAGTTTTATTTTTTACAAAGAAGAAAAAAGGCATGCTTACCTCAAAAGATAATTTCAGCACATCATTAAGCTCTTTAATAAAAACAGAATCTGCTTGTTAGGATTTACATTTATAGCTGGACTATAGTTTTTAAAAAGATTTAGGACTTAGGGCCTAACTCCTTCTGGATTATCCCTTGCATTCTCCCTTGAGTATGTATTCCTTGCTCTACCCCAAAAGCATCTCATCTTTTGAGACTGATAGCCACCCCATTCTCTCTTGAGTATGTATCTACTTTCCTATTTAACCTCTGTCTATGCCTTTGGGTGGGTGGGGGGGGGTTACAATTTTGAAATTTGTTTTGGCTGGCCTGATTTGTGGCTATGTTTTCTAAATCCAGTTAAGAACAATAAAGAAGTTGAGCACCTTGGTGCACATACATAATCCCAGGGGCCCTGGAGGCAGAGGCCAGAGAATAGTAAATTCAAGGTCAGCCTCCTCAATTTAATTAGGCCCTAAGCAACTTAGTGAGACTCTATCTCAAAACAAAAAAATTAAAGAGCATGAGTAGCTCAGTGGTAAAGTACCACTGGGTTCACTTCCCAGTACCTATCAAACAAACAACACAAAACCCATAAACAGATAAAGCTAAAGAAGATCATTCCTGAGTTAGTGTTCCAGACTCAGACAGCGTGCAGTATTAGATGGACCAGGACCCTGGAAAACTAGAGTTTCAGAGGCAAAGATTAGCAGGATCTAATCTCATCCTGATGGAGTGTCAGCACGAAGCTGCTGCCATTACTATTCTGCAGACTCTCCAAACTCTTGAGCAGATGCCAATTTTGCTTGAGCCCTATAAACCAGTCACACTAACATGCTAACCCTGAAAATTAAGAAAAACATGCTAAGAAACGTACTTACTTATAGCTTCGAAAGTAAATCTTCCCATTCAGTGCAGTGAAGTGCAGAACATATTCTAATCCAGCCAGGCGAATATTTGATACTGTGGGACCTCTGAAAAAGTCTAAAAGCACATGTTAAGTTATTTTTTAAAAATACATGCCAGGTATGGTAGCAAACACCCTGTAATCCCAGCAACTTGAGGCTGAGGCAGGAGGATCACATGTTCAAGGCCAGCCTCAGCAATTTAGTGAGACCTTAAGCAACATAGTGAGACCCTGACTCAAAATAAAAAATAAAAAGGGCTGGGGATGTTGCCCAGTGGTTAAGCATCCCTAGTTCAATCCCCAGTACCAAAAAAACTCAACACACTTTTAAAATCCAGTTTCAAAGAACTGCATTCTAAATGTCCCATTTTGCTCTAATACTTACTAAAAAGATAAGCAGCACAAAAATGATTCCTGAAAAATGTGTGAAAGTTTCTCCTCTCAATTATTTAATCTCATGTCTTTTCCACTGAAATATGTAATTTTTCAGTTTTGAATTTCTTCTTTTAAAGCCAATGTTTTTTATTGGAGTATCATATTTACCATGGATATTAACTTTTTAAAAAATGTTAGTCAAGCCAGGCACAATGGAGCAAGTCTGTAATCCCAGCAGCTCGGGAGGCTGGGACAGGAAGATCACAGGTTCAAAACCAGCCTCAGCAACAGCGAGGTGCTAAGCAACTTGGTGTGAGACCCTTTCTCTAAATAAAATACAAAATAGGTCAGGGATGTGGCTCAGTGGTTGAGTGTCTCTGAATTCACTCTCCAGTACCAATGTTAGTAAAGGCATAAATTTTTAACCTACAAGACAAACAGCTGAAGATTCCAGGACCTGATCAAGGAAAGTACAGATGAGTCTAAAACAAAGAGGTAATAGATTAAAATGTGTCTCAACAGAATGCTGACAAAAAGCTGGCAGGGAATGAGAGTTCAAGAAGAAAGAAAGATATTATGAGGGTACAGATAGAGGTAAAACTGCAGTTAAAAAGAAATAAGGGAGTCAGCCAGGGATATAGCTCAGTTAGTAGAGTGCTCGCCTTGCATGCACAAGGCCCTGGGTTCAATCTCCAGCACCACAAAAAATAAAAGAAGTAAGGGGGCTGAAGATAAATGAGTTTTAGTCAGAGATGGAAAGCTTCAGTTTGATATTTTGCAATGGATTAATTCTAGGCAAAAATAAGACTTTAAGTGTGTCTGTGTCTATAAATAAATACAGTGGAAGCTGGGCAAGATGGTGCATGCCTGTAATCCCAGCGGCTGGGGAGGCTGAGGCAGGAGGATTGCAAGTTCAAAGCCAGCCTTAGCAACTTAATGAGGCCCTAAGCAAATCAGCAAGACCCTGTCTCTAAATAAAATACAAAAAAGGGCTTGGGATTTGGCTCAGTGGTTAAATGCCCCTTAGTTCAATTCCTGATACCAATAAATGAATGAATGAATAAATGAAGTGGAAAGGAAACAGTAGGCTGACCAGCATATTTACAGCAAAGCCATGGGATCTGTAGTCCAGGAATACAATCAGATCCTGAATCTGCCACTTACTTCTCTTCAAGCTGGGCAATCAAGCTAACTGGTCTCAATTTCCTTATCCATAACATGGGAGCAATATTACTGTTATGTACTGAATGCATCTATTCTCTCAATATTTATACTTTGAAGCTCTAGTCACCAAATAAATAAAATACTATTTTTATTTATTTATTTATTCTCTTTAGAGAAGAGGCCACTAAGGATACACTGAAGTTTAAAGGAGGTCAAAAAAGGTAGGACCCTAATCCAATACAATTTATGTTCCAGTAAGAAAAACCAAGCTGGGCACGGTGGCACACACCTGTAATCCCAGGAGCTCGGGAGGCTGAGACAGGAGCATTGCGAATCTGTCTCTAAAGAAAAAGAAAAAACACCAGAAAGCCTATTTGGAAGCAACTTTGATCTTGGACTTTTAAGCTTTTGGAACTATGTGGGTTAAGCCCACCAAGTCAATGATATCATGCTATGGCAACCTGAGAAGACTAATACAACTACCTCTGTGAGGCTGTAGAAAAGATTAGTAAATTACCTGACCAAACCTTTAGCAGTTATTTTCATTATTGCATGTTTTTGGTTTTTTGGATACTGGGAATTGAACCTAGGGGTGCTTTACCACTGACCCACATCCCTAGTCCTTTTCATTTTTTATGTTGAGACAGGGTTTTGTAAGTTTCTACGGCCTCACTAAATGCTGAGGATGGTCTCAAGCTTGAGATCCTCTTTCTTCAGCCTCTTGAGTTGCTGGGATTACAAACATGTGCTACTACACCCAGCTCACTGCACATTTTTCAAATGGATTAAAAATTTAGGAAATAAGGTTAAAATAAATTAAGACAATGTAGCTATGACCACTGTTATAAATAAAGGCATTAAGAAAAATTAATCTTGTTAGGTAGATAAATAACAGAGACCTTAAAGGAACATTTCATGAAATTAACCCATTTCTTGATTTACTATCAGTTTAATGTTCAATGAACAGTCACATAAAAACAGTAACAATAAAAATTAGGATAGACTAAATCTAAAAAGATTATTTACTGGTTGATAAATATTCTATCAAAGATGCAGTTCCAACCAGGCATGGTGGTACATGCCTTTAATCCCAGCCAGTTTGGGAGGCTGAGGCAGGAGGATCACAATTTCTTTTATTTTTTTTAATATATATATTTTTTTAGTTGTAGTTGGATACAATATCTTTATTTTATTTATCTATGTGGTGCTGAGGATCGAACCCAGGGCCCCGCACATGCTAGGCGAGCTCTACTGCTAAGCCACAGTCCCAGCCCCAGCCCCAGCCCCAGCCCCAGGAGGATCACAATTTCAAAGCCAGTCTCAGCAACTTAGCAAGACCTTATTTTAAAATAAAAAATAATAATTTTTTAAAAGAGGGCTGGGATGTAGCTCAGTGGTTAAGCAACCCTAGATTCAATCTCTGGTACCAAAAAAAAAAAAAAAACAGTTCCAGAGCGGAAGATGTAACTTAGTGAAAAGCACATTCCTAGCATTCATGAGGTCCTAGATTTCCACCACCAGCATTACAATTAAAAAAAGAAAGAAAAAAAAAAAGCAATTTCCATTAGATTTATAAAACTTTTTTTTTTACAAAAAATTATATAATATTTAAGTAACCAAAAAGAAACTTCCTATAAGAAAGCCCTTCATTAATTTCCTTTCCTTTTTGATCTACCATACAGTCATGTGCTACATAGGGAGATTTCAATGACAGACCACATATATGACAACGGTTCGATAAGAATACATCACTTAAGTGAGCCGTGGTGACATAGACCTGTAATCCTAGAGACTCAGAAGGCTAAGGTAGTAGGAGTGCAGGTTCCAGGCCAGCCTAGGCAACTTAGCAAGGTCTCACATATAGTGAGACTCCGTCTCAAAATAAAAAATAAAACAGGCTGGGGATATGGCTCAGTGGTTAAACACCCCGGAGTTTAATCTCCGGTATGCCCCCTCAACCTTAGGAAAAAAAAAAAAAAAGAATATATCACCTAGTGATGACATAGCCATTTAGTTTGGGTAGATACACTTTGATGCTTATACATTGATGAAATCACCTAACACATTTTTAAGGCCACATGCACATTGTTGTTTTTTTTTAAGAATTTTTAATATTTATTTTTTAGTTTTCGGCGGACACTGCATCTTTGTTTGTATGTGGTGCTGAGGATCGAACCCAGGCCGCACGCATGCCAGGAGAGCGCGCTACTGCTTGAGCCACATCCCCAGCCCCACATGCACATTGTTAAATGACACATCATTATATTTCATTTGAACACATAACATAACTAAAGGACAGTTATTTTACTTCATATCTACACCGAAAACCCACTTCCCTTTGTGTCCTACAATTTTATTCCATTCCTCTTCTAACTGTCCCCAGATTCCATCAGGTTTTCACTCGCTTCGCTCATTATTACATTATGTGGTCATTAATGCCATCTAGTGGAAACACAAAATAATGAGAAGTTTAGGGCTTAAAAAAGCCATTAAAATAAAGGCAAGCAAAAGCCCTCTCTCTGCTATAACAAATCATAAGTACCTACCTCACCTAACATAATCATATGGGGACATGGTGGGAAAAGGTAGGAAATCTGAGCCAATAGAGTATAAGTAATAGAAATATTGCCTGAAAATCTGGCTGAAATATTGGCTAAAAAAATAATCTTGCTGGGCACAGGGCACATGCTTGTAATCCTAGCAACTCAGGAGGCTGAGGCAGGAGGATCACAAATTTGGGGCTAGCCTCAACAATTTTACAAGACCTTAAAGTGAGACCCTGTCTCAAAATAAAAATTAAAAAGGACTGGATATGTAACTCAGTAGTAAATAGTAGTAGTAGCTTAATCCTTAGTACCAAATAAACAAAAACTCTTGATATTTTGGGCTTTAATATTAAAAGTAGAAAATATTAATCACTGTCACTCATGTATGAATTTACTTCATGGACAATATAGGTAAGAACCTAAAAAAAAGATTCTGCCAAGAGAAAATGGACAACAGAGGCAGAAAAGCTCAGGTATTGAGTTTCAATTCTGCTTCACCTATTTAATACCCCTTATTTAATCTCCATGAACTTCTGTCTCCCATTTCTGAAATGAATGTCACCAAATTCCAGAAATTTTGTAAAGATTAAAACAGATAATACTAATGCTCAGCCAGGTGTATAGCTCTGTGGTAAAGTACTTGCCTAGCATTCAGGAGGCTCTGGGTTCAATCCCACCCGATCCCCAAAACCAAAAACAACATACCCCCAGACTTATTAAGAGAAATGAGAACTCTGGAAATTATAATCAACAATAACACTGTTAATAGTACCAACAATAAAAAATAAAAGCAATGTGTCTCAACGTATCTACCTCAAACTTTTTTGATATTTTGGTGGGCTCAGATTTGTAAAGTCTAAGAATATAATTTAATACATAAGCCACCAACTTTCCAGCAATAATCTAGGGCAAAGTATATAAAAAGTTTTTAAAGGGCAATTTAGGATAACAAGCCTAAATTTATAAAAGGGATGCAAAAAAACCACAAATGAAATACAGTATAAATTACTGAAAATTGAGAAAATATTGCTGCACATCAATAAGGAACCTTGAGGCTGTCAAAGCAGAGGTGAAAAGGGAACATAAAAGAGTGCTGCAGAGTTCACCAAAAAGTTAACCAGACCCTTTAAATTAGTGCAAATCTCTTGGACAAATTATTTTCCAGAGTTATAATCAAACAAACAACAATTAAAAAAAAAGAACTGGCAACTGTGATTAGTAACGTTTTAAAAATCACAGAGGGCTAAGAATATAGCTCAGTTGGTAGAGTGCTTGTCTAACATGTGAAAGGCCCTAGGTTCAATCCCTAACATCACAAATATTATTAAAAAAAAAACAAAAAACAAGTAGCTACGCATGGTGGTGCACGCTTAGAAACCCAGCTACTCCAGAGGTTGAGGCAGGATGGTCCTAAATTCAAAGTTAGCTTGGGCAATTTAACAAGACCTTGTCTTAAAATGAAAAGGACTGAGGATATATCGTTCAGTAGTAGATCAACTGCCTACTATGAATGAGATCCTTGGTTTTATGCCTAGGACTCAAAAACAAAAGACCTTGAAAAACAGTAAAGCCAAATTATCACAAAAGGAGAAATGTGAATTAAAAAATGGTTAATTGGCCACTTGTGGGCAACAGGGTGGTGGTGGACTAAGTTGTCTGTAAAATGAGCCTGTAAGTTTCTTGTGAAAATCAAGCAATCAATGTAAAGTACATAATAATGGTTTGGCACTGAGGGTTTCCTGAAACAAAACCTGATATGAAACTTCAAAGAATTTTAGAAATTGAATAAATAAAAATGACCTCAGAAAACATACCACTTTTTCAAAGAAAAAGAAAGAAGAAAATTGAAGATCAATAAGGTAAGTTATACTGGGGTTACATTATGAAAGTCCTTACATATCAAACTAACAGGTCTTAAACGAATGCAAAGTGAAATCTGAGCTTAACAATTTAAGTTTAAACTAATGACATTAGTAATAACAGGAGATAGGTGTGAGCATTTTGTAAAGTATAAAACACTTTATATAAATAGGATGATATTTTAATTACAATATCAAAAAATAATAATAATCCATAAAATGTAACATTCCCTTTAACTCTATTTGAGATAATTAAGTACTTTCCTGCTATTGGTGGAAGAAAAATAAAAATAAGAAAAAGAAAAAAAGAAAGGAAAAAATTGTACGCCCAGAGCAAAGTGCCATCAAGGACAGTCTTAAATTGCCTACCTCAGTTACCCTACAAATAAAATGTATTAAAATATTTACCAATGAGAAGACTTTTTAGTCTTCTATAGTCTTCAGTTGTATCAAAAGCATCACCAGCAAATATTAACATGGGTTTTGTTCCCTCAGGACATTTACTATTCTGTGAAATGGAAAAAAAAAAAAAAAGAATAATTATATAACTGTCAAAGTCTACACTGTTTATATGCTGATTTTAAGGCGGTCAATACAGTAATTTGTTTTCAGATTACATTAACAATTCTAAAACTATGTCTGAAAATACTTATTTTGTACTAAAAAAAAAAAGAACACACAGGTGGGATTTTTAGGCTTACAGATTTTTAGACTGAAAAATAATTGATCCAGGTACAGTGGCATGCCTTTAGTCCCAGCTACTCAGGAGGCTGACCAATGCAGGGAGGATCCCTTGAGCCCAGGATTTCCAAGACCAGCCTAAGTAACACAGCAAGACCACATCTCAAAATAGAAATAATAAAAAATAAAAAATAAAATTCTTTATTCTACTTTATTCATTATCACATAAGAGATCAAAGAATGATGTAAACTACTTTTTTAACATTAGTTTATATAAAGAATAAAATTAAAAGCTACACTTGAGAAAGACAAAACCCAACCAACCAAAAAAACTAAAAATTTGCCTCTTATAACCAGCATTTCAGAATCAAAATAAATTTAATTGCAATTTCTTTGAATTATTTGTACCACTGTGCCTTTCCTATTGCATCATATTAAAAGTGTTTTTAGGAGCAAGGTATGGTGATGCATACCTACAATCCCAGTTACTGGGGAGGCTAAGGCAGAAGGATTTTAAGTTCAAGGCCAGCCTGGGCAACTAAGTGAGATCTGGTCTCAAAATATAAAATAAAAGGGCTGGGGATATGGCTCAGTGGTTAAGAACTCTTGCATAACACAAGTGAAGTTCTGGGCTCAATACATATAAGGTTAAAAAAAAAATCACTATATTTAAAATTTAAACCACTAACCAAACATTCACATGGGAAACAATATTATTCTACACAAGCTATAGAAAATATGGGCCAATTCTCACTTCATATGCTTGAAGCACTTGCTATAAAAAAGTATTTTGTCAGGGCTAGTGTTGCAACTCAGTGGTAGAGTACTTGCCTCACATATGTGAGGGCACTGGGTTCGATTCTCAGCACCACATATAAATAAATTAATAAAATAAAGGTCCATTGACATCTAAAAAAAAATATTAAAAAAAAAAAGAATTTGTCTTAACTCCAGATTTTCTATATTAAAAAGAATGAGTGATAACAAGAGGATTTAGAAGCTACCAAGAAAAAAAAAATCTTTAAGTATTAACTGTTGAAGGTTGTTGGTCTGAGTTTCCCATTAATTCTAATACCTCCACTCTGACAGTAATCAGAGATTATCCAAACACAGCAGAAAAACAAACATGACAAAAAACAAACATTTTTTGCCCTAGGACTAGAGGTCACTTGTTGTTTCCCTGCTCACCATGACCACGCTTGTTGACATTCTCTGCTTCCAAACCCCGAAAATCAACTATCTGTATTTAGAGGATGAAGTTATGCTGAAGGTCTGCCTAATTGAAAGCTTGAATGGACCTTCCAGCCGCAATAACTCTTATGTATGTGCTCCGTTTGTACCTGACTCCAGGACTATGGGGAATATTTAGATATATAGTAGGTATGACAAGGTGGAGCCCCACAGTTCTGGCTTCACCACAATGCATAGTAATTAAAAAATACTTTTTTATTTTTTTGGTACCAGGGATTGAACTCAGGGACACTTGGCCACTGAGCCACATCCCCAGCCCCATTTTTGTATATTATTTAGAGATAGGGTTTCACTGCGTTGCTTAGTACCTCGTTTTTGCCAAGACTGGATTTGAACTCCTGCCTCAGACTCCCGAGTCACTGGGATTACAGGCATGCACCACCACACCTGGCTAAAATTACATTTTAATCATGACCCAGTATACACATCATAAAAAGAAAACAAATGTTATATGAAATAATATTTAACATGTAAAGAACTCTATTCCATTAAAAACAAATTGAATTCTGAAAGGAACTAAAAATTCAAAATCCTAAAAATATTATAAATAAAGTATACTAAAAATACTATAATTATATGGAGCCCCTGAGCCACCCTTTTCAGTTCTGTTTTTTTTTTTTTTTTTTTTTGGGGGGGGGGGGATACTGGGAATTGATTGAACCGAGGGGCACTTAACCACTGAGTAACTTCCCTGACCTTTTTATTTTTTGAGAAAGGGTCTCCTGAGCCAGACTTCAAACTTGAGATCCTCCTTCTGTAGCCTCTTGAGTAGCTGGGATTATAGTGAGATTATAGGTGTATACCACTAGGCCCAGATTGAGTTTTTTAAATAGAGAAAAAACAGGTAAATAATTCTTATGTATTACACAACATTCCAAAAATTTCTCAAATAAAATTTCTCAGGCAGTTGCAATATGGCTACCTTATCTAAAATAAAATCAACTTGTCGCAAAATTTAATCTGTTTATTAAGGCTTACTTGGTCATCTTAGAAAACAGGATCCTAGAATACTTGCTGAATTCCTGGTAAAGTCTAATCACCTGTTAATTTATTTTTATTGTGCCTGTATAAAAATTCATTAATAGAGAGAAGAGGCTTGGTAAACACAATAGGCATAAAAAAGAAATACCAGTGAAATGTCTTAAAAATGAGATGGTAAAAAAGGAAATTAATTGAAGGAAACGTATAAAAAAATATACAACTTTAAAACAAACTAAAAATACATGCTTGTAACCCAAGATTAGGGTGAAAAGAGAAGAACTATATAATAAATCTCAGTGTATGCCGGAATTGTTGGTGTAGGCACATTTCTTATCAATTAATGAAATCTGTAGTTTTTGTATGAACACACACACAAACTCACTTATTCCACAAATGAAAAGGTTTTTTTGTTGTTTTGTTTTGTTTTTTGTATGTGTGTGTGTGGTACTGGATTTGAACTCAGGGCCTCATGCATGCTAGAATCACATGTCACATCACTGCATTCAAAGAAAGGGTCTAACTAACTTGCCCAGGCTGGCCTCAAATTTTCAATCCTCCAGCCTCTGCCTCTTCCCAGTAGCTGGGATTACAGATATGCACCACATCAGACTTGTGTTCCAGTTTAGAAGCAGCACAGTGAATGGAGGATTTCATTGCTTTGGAAACAGAAAGAATAGAGGGATTGATAACCACTCATCCATCAGTCAATGCTCACACCCACCAATCTAGTAAGCAAGTAAGAAGTAATTGTAAAGGTAAAAATGGGGATATGCTGCTCATCTCCAGGGATTTGTGCATAGCCCCAAAGAAACTAATAATATGATGGCTTCCACAATAATATGTTCACTGATGAACATTTTCACAGACATTATCTCATTTGATGTTCCTACACTTATTTCATACGTGGTTGCAATTGAGGGTCAAGAAGTCATTAATTTGCACTGGGGATGTGGCTCAAGCGGTAGCGTGCTCGCCTGGCATGCGTGCGGCCCGGGGTTCGATCCTCAGCACCACACACAAACAAAGATGTTGTGTCCGTCGAAAATTAAAAAATAAATATTAAAATTCTCTCTCTCAGGCTGGGGATGTGGCTCAAGCAGTAGCGTGCTCGCCTGGCATGCCTGAGGCCCAGGTTCGATCCTCAGCACCACATACAAACAAAGATGTTGTGTCCGCCAATAACTAAAAAAAATAAATATTAAAAATTCTCTCTCCCTCTCTCTCTCAATAAAAAAAAAATTATCTCTCTCTTTAAAAAAAAAAGTCATTAATTTGTCACATGACAAATTTCATTGTAATCGAAAGAAAGGCCTCAAAATCTTGGGTTCTGCCTCTAAATCCAATTTCAGGCCACTGTTCTCTTATACTTGAAGAAGCTAGAATGACTGACCAAATGGTGATGTCATAAGACCTTCTTTCCAATCTGCAGGATCAGGGGATATTTAATTTAGGAATTCTTTTAAACTAAATGGTGCGTTCCCTCTTTAAAGAAGGGCTGACAGAAGGTATCGAGATATATATATATATATATATATATATTTATACACACACTATAATTCTTTCAACTATAGCATAAATCTCAAAAAACTATTAACTAAGAATAGTTACATAACTTTCCACTACAAATGACAATAGCCTTTCTCTCAAAGATCTTGAGAACCAGGCGTGCTCTCAAAAAAAGGGCTGGAAGGAAAATGGATAGAACTAGAAACCATCACATTAAGTGAAATAAGTCAAATAAAAGAAGATTAAGGATCGTATGTTTTCTCTCATATGCAGAAGCTAGAGAGGAAAAAGAAAAATAAAGTTGGGGGTGGTTCTTCTAAAAATTAAAGTCAAGCTGGGCAAAGTGGCACATGCCTATAATCCTCAGTGGCTCAGGAGGCTGAGGCGGGAGCATGGAGAGAGTTCTAAGCCAGCCTCAGCAAAAGTGAGGTGCTAAGCAACTCAGTGAGACTCTGTCTCTAAATAAAATACCAAATATTTGGGATGCAGCTAAGTGGTTAAGTGTCCCTGAGTTCAATCCCAGGTGCCACCACCCACCAAAAAAAAAAACAGAGAGAGATCAGTACAGGAAAAGGACCAAGAGGTGGAAGGTCGGGAGGGAGAGGGGAAGTGTTGGGGAATGACACTGGTCTAATCATATTGTGTGCACGTATGAATATTTAACAACAAATGCCATCAATATATACAACTATAATGGACCAATAAAAGGGGGTGGGGCCTGGGATATAATCAGTGATAAAGAGCCTCTGGGTTAAATCCCACTACCAAAAGAAAGAAAACTTCTTGAGAACTAATCTTGGTTCAATTTATTATATGTATGACTCCAGATCACCAATGAAACCCCTCTGGGTCTCAACTGTAAAATCTATATATAATAGGGAAAATTATTTTGGCCATGCACAGGACAGCTATGAGTTTTAAGGGAAATAATACATTTGATGGGATAAAATCAGAAGCAGAGTTCTGAGAAAGTAAGAGCCCAATTTGTATCCAGGAGCTGAGATGGAACATTCTTCCTAATTGCTTTCTATTTCATAATCCCATTCAAACAAAGGAGATACAAAGATTCCAAGTCCTAAAGGGGAAATTAAGCTAGAAATTTGATGGCCAAAATACTACATAATCAGCCAGAGTTTCCTGCATTTAGAATACGCCTCTATTTCTGAGGTTCTATAAAATAGGTGTCATAATCATTCAGAGGGAGAGGACAGCATTTAAACCACGGGCCTAGACAAGAATTAGTAACCACAATATGAAGTCTATCTGCCACAAGACCCACATGTGTTATATGCTCTAAATTATATTTCTTACTTTTAAAGTAAAGGTAAAATAAAGTAGTATTTGTTGTGCATGCCAGAATAAAAACATGAAATTCTCTACAAAATTCTAAATTAGTACTCTTCACCTATGGTCACTATTGGCCAAGAGCAACATTACAAAATGCTTTTTATTTTTATAATAAGTATCTTACCTTAATATCTTTGAGCGACACAAACTTCTCAATACCTAATTCAATCATATCCAGCACATGGTAGTCATACATGCGACCTAGAAGAAAATACATTTTAAGCATTGTTTTTCGAAACAGCAACCTAAATCTAATTGTGATTAAATTCTGAGATGGAAAATATACAAATATATGTTTCATATTATAAAAATATCTTCAACTTGAAATAGGGTAATCCCCACCACCAATGGGGTCCCCAATTCCAATGGACCTATATTGTGTGACAGCTCAGAAATGCCCATTGCAAGTAGAAGGTAATGGTGTTGCATCTATAACTGAGTAAATGGAGATGCTGAGAAACCTAAGAAGCCATACTTCCTATTTAAACCCAAAACTTATTTCCCGGGGAGGCAGAAGCAATGGCATTCTGAGAAGAATTAATAAATAAGAAACTCTTTCATATTCTTCCTCATTTATATAACTCCCATGTACTGGCAGCATAATATTTATATACCCAGGCTAAGGATTACAACATAGTGGTAGAGCACTTGCATATACAACACCTTGGCTCAATTCTAGCACCACAAAAATATATATATGTATTGTGTGTACACAAAAATATATATGACCCGTTCTTTACCTAAAGACTGTTTACTTCTTTTCTTCTACTGTGCTGGGGATAGAACCCAGGGCCTCACACATGTTAAGCAAGTGCTCTACCATTGAGTGATGACATTAAATAATTGTATTTAATGTCTTAAGGTAAAAAACAAAACAAAAAATTACTTCAGAGCCTAATGGTTACTCCTAAATTCCGAACACAGCTTATCTGAATCACAGAGCTGACTCTATAAATAAAAACATTAAGAGGCTGAGCGCAGAATTACAGGTGCATGCCTGTAATTCCAGCAGCTCAGGAGGCTGAGACAGGAGAATCATGAGTTCCAAGCCAGCCTCAGCAACAGCAAGGTGCTAAACAACTCAGTGAGACCCTGACTCTAAATAAAATACAAAACAGGACTAGGGATGTGGCTCAGTGGTCGAGTGCCCCTGGGTTTAATCCCCAGTACCACCTCCCTAAAAAAAAAAAAAATTAAAAATAAACTAGGGTTTGATGGTGCAAGCCTGTAATCCTAGCCATTCAAGAGTTAATTCCTGGTTAGCCTGAACATCTTAGTAAACTCTTGTCTCAAAATAAAAAATAACAAGGCTTTTGAGGTGTACTTCAGTGGTAAAGCACCCCTGGATTCAATCCCTGGTTCCACACACACAAAAAAATTAATTAAAAAAAAAAAAGTAAATCATACTTACCTATTACTAGGTTATTTGGCCGCTTCTTGTTATGGGAGCCAAACATAAATAAAGAACAATCTGACTTCTTTGAAAAGAATTCCTATAAAAGCAAATAAAAAATAAGAACCTTGAGAATCTTACCTCTGAACTTAAAGTATATCACTTCTTTTCAGTGGGAGTTAATAAAGACTTTATGAACTAAACAAAAATATGCACAGGAAAAATATTCATTTATGGCCAGGGTCAGTAGTGCACACCTTTAATACCAGCAAGCTCAGGAGGCTGACTTCAAAGCCAGCCTCAGCAACAGTGAGGCACTAAGCAACTCAGTGAGACCCTGTCTCTAAATAAAATACAAAATAGGGCTGGGGATGTGGCTCAGTGGTTGAGTGCCTCTGAGTTCAATCCCCAGTACCTACCTCCCACCAAAAAAAAAAAAAAAATTACTATCATCAATGCACATCTTAACATATAGGATACTTATATGAATTTATCAGCATGCTGTTTTGGGGATGTTTACAATTGGATCCATGAGTTTACAAGGTACACTGCACTTTTTATTGCAAACTGCAAGTATAGAAGGATCTGGCCCTAAAAACTCCATGTCTCCAATGACAACAGGTTCAATGTTGTGTACACAGACAGGACTGATAATTCAATGTAAGAGCTATTTCTCTGTTTGGCTCTCAGAAGTGCTGGCTTCCATTACAGAATGGAGAGGAGTGAAAATATATGTATGGAGTTTCAGTCCTATACAGATTCTTTTCTACTATGCCTATACTCTCTATATATCCCAAATACTGACTGAATTTATTGAGAGCACCAATCTTAGCACAAAAATTAGATCTGATTTGTTCTAGTCCAAAAATCAGTAAAACGGCCTCCAAAATCAATTTTAAAAAATTTAAAGAATAGATGAAACAGCCACAATCCTCAACTTTTCTTCACTGGTTATAAGATATGGGTACCTAATTTGGTTACTATTTAAATTCAGTACCTAAGTAGAAACAAATGAAACAAAAAGTTCCACCCGCTTATCCACTCCTAGAGTGAAAGACATAGAATCACAAAGTCCAAGAATTAAGGGTATGCCGCTTAGTATGTCATCTAAACAAATTAATCTTTGTTTTTTTTTCTTTTGTACTGAGGATTGAACCCAGAGGTGCTTAACCACTGAGCCACATCCCTGGCTCTTTTTACTTATCTATTTTAGTTTTGAGACAAGGTCTCGCTAAGTTGCCAAGGCTGGTCCTGAACTTGCAATTCTCCTTCCTTGACCTCTTAAGCTGCTGGGATTACAAGTGTGCACCACTATACCAGGCACAAATTAACCTTTTTGAGAATTTTATCATCAAAGACAATGAAACCTCTTGTAAAAACATGCAAGGGCTTTATGAGATGTCATATGTGAGTAAACTATGCACAATGTCTGATACAAGAAGGTATTTAAAAAATATTTTTTAAACCAATGGAAATGGTTTTCTTAAAATGTTTTCAAAAACATTCTTATAGCCAGGCATGGTGGCACCCACCTGAAATCCCAGTGGCTTGGCAGGCTAAGCTAGGAGGATCACAAGTTTGAAGCCAGCCTCAGCAACTCAGTGAGGCCCTAAGCAACTTATCGAGACCCTGTCTCAAAAGAAAATAAAAGGATTGGGCATGTAGCTCAGTAGTTAGACACCCCTGGCTTCAACCCCTAACCCAAAAATATAAAAAATTAAAACAATTTTATGGCCAGGCATGGTGGCACACACGTGTAATCCCAGCCACTTGGGAAACTGAGGAGGGGCAACTGCAAATTCAGAGCCAGCCTCAACAACTGAGCAAGACCCTGGCTCAGGATAAAAAAATTAAAGGACTAGGGGCTGGGGCTGTAGCTCAGTGGCAGACCGCTTGCCTTCCACATGGGAGGCACTGGGTTCAATCCTGAGCACTGCATAAAAAAAATACACAAATACAATAAAGGCATGCTGTCCATCTACAACTACAAAAAAAAAAAAAAAAAAAGGAAATAAATAAATTAAATAAATAAAAAAGGACCGGGAATATAGTTCAGTGGTAGAACACTCCAGTACTGCAAAAACAAAACACAAAACTATAATTTGGTAACCACAAAGGAAAGCCTATAATACCTAAAAAATAAAAAGGCAACAAATCAAAACATACTGCTAGAGAAAGTCTCTTAACCACACAGGGGGAAAAAAAAAAGATCTAGCCAGGTGCAATGGCACACGCCTATAATCCAATTCTAGCTCAGGAAGCTGAGACAGGAGGTCCTGAGTTCAAAACCCAGCTTCAGCAACTCAGTGAGGCCCTGAGCAACTTAGCAAGATCCTATAGATCTCAAAAAAAACCAAACAGGGGTTGGGGGTGGGAGTGGGAAGGAAGTCGCAGGGCTGAGATATGGCTCAGTGGTTAAGTGTCTCTGGTACAAAAAAAAAAGAGAGAGAGAGAGAGAGGATCTGAAACAAGCTTTCATTTGACAATTATGTGCTTAAAATGTAATTCAATCTATAAAAATTTCTATCAATATACTTGTAAGCAATGAATAATACATTTACTAGCAAAAGTGAAATAAAACATCTTAGGAGACTGAAGCAAAATAGCTTGAAGTCAAGAGTTGAAAGCGAGTCTGAGCAACATAGAGAGACCCACCCATAAAATAATAAATAAATAGTAAGATTTGTAGGAACGGAAATTATAGACACACACACACACACACACACACACACAATCTGCATTCCTATTATTGGGATTGAAGCTGGTTTCAAACTTGCAATACTCCTGCTGTAGCCTCTTCGGTAGCTGAGATTACAGGTGTGCACCACTGTGCTCAGCTATAGTTATATTTTTGAAACAATAAAGGTCTTACCCCTCCCATATCAAAATTATCTTCCTTTTTTTTTTTTTTTTTTTTTTTTTGGTGGTGCTAGGGATGGAACCCAGGGCCTTGTGCATGCAAAGCAGGCACTCTACCAACTGAGCTATATCCCCAGCCCAGGATGACTTAATTTTTAATTAGGGTTATAATATCAGTCTTGAATAATCACTTACATGTTCTCTTAAATCAGAAAGATTCTTGTACTTACCAGTGATGTCTGATCCTCAAATGGTCTTGTAATATTTTTCCTAAGAATATTAAAAAAGTAACCCCAAATTTAATAATCTTGATAAGTAAATTCAATTAATATATAAAAGATAATTTTTATTAAGATGATTTAAAAAACAGAAATCTGGGCATGGTGGCACACCAGCAATCAGGAGGCTGAGGCAGGAGGACCACAAATTCAAAGCCAGCCTCAGAAACTTAGCAAGGCCTTAAATAACTTAGTAAGACCCTATCTCAAAATAAAAAATAAAAAGGGCTGAGGAGGTGGCTCAGTGGTTAAGTGCCCTTGGGTTCAAACCCTAATACCAAAAATAAATAAATAATAAAAAACAGAAAGATATCCATTCAAATATTTATTTAGTGTCTATTATATGACAGGCAGTGTTCCAGGATTTAGGGATGCTATAATACTACATCAAATAAGGTACTTTCTTTCATGGAGCTATTCTAGTAGAAAAATAAATACATTCAAAAAGTAATAATTATTATAACAAAAATAAAATAGGGTATGGTGTTACCATAAAGAGTATAACATGACAATTTCCGCTGAGACCTGTGAGTTAGTCATAGAACTTTTAAGGCTAAGATTATTCTAAGAAGGGAATGGCAGTGTCCCACACTTGTAATCCCAGTAACTCAAGAGGCTGAGACAGGAGGACTGAAAGTCCAAGGCCAGGCTCAGCAATTTAAGAAAGGCCCTCAATAACTTAGCAAAATCCTGTCTCAAAATAAAAAACATGAAAAAAAAAAAGGGGGTGCCTGGGGAGGCAGCTCAGGGCCCTAGTAATGAAAAAAAGAAAGAAAATGATTCCCTAAACAGTATATCATAACAACCATGTACGTGGTATTTACATTGTTTTAGGTATCATAAATAACTTAGAGATCATTTAAAGTTTATGGGAGGATATATGTAGGTTCCAAGCAAAACCCACACCATTTTATACATAAGGGATCTGAATATCCAGACTTCAATATCCAAAAGGAGTCCTGAAACTAGTCTCCAACAAACAATGACAGATAACCCTATTTGCACAGACTTTACTTAGTCTCAAAGTATCTCTTCCAAATATTTACTAACTACAAAGGGAGTTATAGTGGAGAAACCCAGCAAACACCACTTTAACCTACTACTATCTCTGAATCCAGAGGTACTTTACCACTGAGCAGCATCCCCAACCCTTTTTATTTTGAGACAGGATCTTGCTGCTAAATCATTTAATCACTTAGAGCCTTGCTAAATTGCTGGGGCTGGCCTCAAACTTGTAATCCTCCTGCCTCAGCTTCACAAATCACTGGGATTACAGTTGTGGGCCACCATGCTCAGCTGGAACAACATGGTCTTTTTACACACACACACACACACACACACACACACAATTTCCCTTCCAAATCTTTTATAAAGTGGTTGTTACTTTTATAATAAAACAAAATAATTTAAAATAAAATTTTTTAAAATCATGACTTACTTTTTATATAGAACGCCATATGGTTTTTTCAGTGCATACTGTAAAACATAATTTATAGCTTTTAAAACAAAACATTCTGAAAAGCAGAAATAACAATAAAGCAATACATGCATTCTACAAGACTTCTCTAGTCACTGAATCCTGTTCTGATGTCTTTTGTTTGGCTCCCTTTTGATCACATACAATAATTTGTAACATAAACTTAATATTCTTAGACTAGATTTTTCCTATTTCAAAGTATCCATACCCTTTCAATAGTCTATCCAACTTAAAATAATTCCCTTCATTTCTTTAAACTCTACCTAGTCCATTCTCTCTAAGCAAATAACCTAGATTAGAAAGAAGAGCAAAAGATAACAGAAAACTAAATCCTATCTGAAAGCACTTACAATCGAAATGACTTTGGAGATACAAGAACTCAGCAAAAGTCACAATGATGACAATTAGAATACTAGCCAGAGTTTATTTCATTTATTTTGCAGTGCTGAGAATTAAACTTTGGCACTTATGCACACTAGGCAAGTGCTCTACCACTAGGCTACATCATTGGCCCTACGCTGGGTTTAAACACAGCCCTTAAAAAAATTGCTGCTGCCAAGTGCTTGATACACACCTGTAATCCCAACAACTCAGGAGACTGAGACATAAGGATTACAAGTTCAAAGCCAGCCTAAGCAACTCAGTGAGACCCTGTTTTAAAATAAAAAATAAAAAAGGCCTGGGGATGTCGCTCAGTGGTTAAGCATCCCTGGGTTCAATCCCCAGTACCAAAAAAACAAAAGAAAACAAAACAAAAAATTGCTGCTACCCAGCCCTCTTCTTTGTTTTCCCACTTCTTTCCACTGATTCATTAATAATCACTTATTATCTGTATGACCACCAGTACTGCTCTACCAAAAAGAATAGCAAATATGTAAAGCATTGCCTTGTATTAGAAAAAGGAGTCAGTGAGAGAAAACAATGAAAAATAAAAGGAAATGATCATTCATCAACTATAAGAGCTAGTAAATAGAAAAACTCTTGTGGATTGGGGATATAGCTCAATGGTAGGGCACTTGCCTGGCATGAAAAGACTCACCAGTGAAATATACCTTCTCAAATACCAAAACTCTGGAGGATTCTTCTTATCCAATGTTTCCCTGTCTCAGAGTAATGAACATTACTACCTTTTTTTTGACAACACAGTCATTGTTATGAATGTTAACTACTGTAATAATGTGTGATGCAGATTATACCTATTAGAGCTTGTTTAAATATGTAGGGATCATTCGGTTGACAGAATAGTGTCCTAACAAAACAATGAGATTTAGAAACATTTCAAAAAAGGATGAGTACAAATTAGGTATTTAGATATCTGAATTGACTGTATTTAATAAGCATAAAGAGTTCAGTCAATTTCAAAAACATGTTCAACTATTTTACTTGATTTAACTCAAAGAATCTATCAGCTATACTCAGACTTTGATACTCAACTATCTACAAGTATCTCCACACATTATGCCCCATTCATTGATTAAATACTCACTGAGCACCCAATATGCCTAGACTCTGGACTAGGCACCAGGTATAGAAGTAGGAAAAAGTTTTATATCTTCACTATGTAAATTAGGTCCCAAACTTGAGTTTGGGACCTAACTTAAATAGTGAACCTGCCCCACCTTTTACAGTCTCTAATCACCATTACTGCCCAGCAGGCACACAGGCCAAAAAGCTGGGAAGTTGTACTTCTCACTAATGCCCAAACTATTCTGCCCTCAACATCTATTTTCTGATCAATCCTTGTTTTCATTTTACCATCACCAGACTCCAGGTTCTCTTTACCAGGCTAACAGCAACAATGTGGTTGCCCACATTTGCTCTCTGGCTTTTCTAATCAAGTCAAGAAAATGAACTGATCAACTCTTTCACTTAAAATTTGCCAATGACTCCACAGGACTTTTGGAATAAAATTCAAATTCCATATTAACATATGACTTCTGACTCTTCTGGCTTCACATAGTACATCTCCTTTAGCCAGCTCAATTATTTGCAGTGCTCTAAATGCTCCTTCACGTGCACTTTTGCCCAAGATTCTTCCTCAGCTTGAAAGCCCTTCTTTCTATCCTCTTGCTCCAAATGCTCCTTCAAAATGAAGCTTACATGTTATTTTCAGGAAGCCCATTTTTTTGTGGGTCCCCCTAAGTGATGTGAACTATGTCCCATTCTACCCTCTGCATACCTCCAGCACAGCATTTAATTCTTAATACTTTAAGCTCACTAAAAGGAGATGCTATGTTTTTCTATTATTCCCAGTACTCAGGACAGTAAATGGCATTGTTAAATGAATAAATACATAGTGATATTCAGTTACTTCACTTTGCAAATTAAATGTGTTCCTAAAAGGGCTGGAGATGTAGCTCAGTGATACAGTGCTCTTTGTCTACCATGTATAAGATCCCAGATTCCATTTCTAAGGCAGTGGGGTGGGGGAAAAAAAAAAAGTAGAGCTGAGATACATTCCTAAAATGTATCAAATTCTGTAATTAAAACTAGTTTAATTTACCTGCTTTAAGGAAAACCAGTAGTCAGTGAGGTGGGAAGAAAAATAACCTCTAATTTCAGATCTTCTCGAAGGCTAGTAGATCTTTTTATTTTATTTATTTATTTAAATGTTTATTTATTTGTTTGTTTTTAGTTGAAGGTGGACAAGAGACCTTTATTTTACTTTTTTTTTAATGTGGTGTTGAGGATCGAACCCAGTGCCTCACACATGCTAGGCAAGCGCTCTACCTCTGAACCACATCCCCAGCCCAAGGCTAGTAGATCTTAAGGTAACCTTACCATTTCTCCAGCAGCCCAAACCAGTATGCTGAAAGCTTCTAAAATGACTTCAGTAGTACTTAAACATTAAGTATATATACATACCATATCTTTAAGTACTTGTGTCACTATTGCATTTGCATTTCCCCCTTTAATCAGCATGGCATTTTTAATATTTTCACTGAGCTTTGGTTCTCTCTTCTCAAGGAATCTCTTGGCCCTTTTCGTTTTGGGTTTTCTGTTAAGAAAAGCATAATTCATAACAATGCAAACATTTTCCTCACATTGCAAAATCAAGACTTTAACAAGGAGAAAATTCTAAAAAATCAAGGAGACATTACATTCACATATTTATCAGTTAGGATTCCAACATTAACATCTCACATTTTATTAGAAAAAGACACTCTATCACTATTAAACAAGCGTTTTGTTAGCTTTTGGTTTTCTTAAAAAAGCTTTCATTTTAATATTCCTAGTATTCTTATTCTTCTTCTTCTTTTTTTTTTTGCGGTGCTGGGGATTGAACCCAGGGCCTTGTGCATGCAAAGCAAGCACTCTACCAACTGAGCTATATCCCCAAGTTGCAGCATTCATTTATTATTGTTGTTTTCTAAATCTTTATTTTTTTTAATTGTAGAGGGACACACAATATCTTTGTTTATTAATTTATTTTTTATTGGTGCTGAGGATCGAACCGGTGCCTCACACATTGCTAGGCAAGCGTTCTGCCACTGTGCTACAGCCTCAGCCCATCTTTTTATTTTTTATTTGATTATTTTTGGCACTGGGAATTGAACCCAGGGGCACTTAACCATTGAGTAATATCCCCAGTCCTTTTTATTTTGAGTAGGGTCTTGCTAAGTTGCTTAGGGCCTAAGTTGCTGAAGTTGCCTTTGAATTTGCGATCCTCCTGCCTCAGCTTCCTGAGCTGCTGGGATTACAAGTGTGTGCCACTGGGCCCAGCTTCCTTTTTTCTTTTTAATTAAAAAAAAAAAATAAAGAACCAGACAGATGTGATGGTGTACACCTATAATCATAGGCAGGAGGATTGCTATTTGAGGCCAGCCAGGACAACACAGCAATACCCCAACTCAATTAAAAATAAATAAGCAAATAAAGGGCTCAAGTAGACATTATTTTTATTCCCCCCCACCAAATTTAAAATAGACAAACTGTACCCTGTACACTAACACAAAGAATTGTATATCAACTGCTGATCAACCTGTGGATATTTATTAAATATAGGATATCTACTAAATATAGATATTATTTACTAATATAGGTATTGCTTATCTTTTCTTCCAGATTTAAGACCAAGTACCTACCAGGAAGTATATATTATCTCACTCCAATATCACTGCTGAGAAAGTCTAATAACTACCAAAGAGTAATCTTGGATATTAAGACTTAATTTTCACCACAACCCTAAGAGACAGTACACTTATGATCTTCACTTTATAGATAAAGCAAAGACTTGATAAGTAATCTTCCTAAGGTCATGCAGCTAGTAATAAGGCCCAACTTCACAATGAGCTAGATTTAAAAACTCATCTAAGACAATTACCTAAGAAACAAAGAAGGGAAAATAAATTATTATTCTGACTTCATGGTGTGAAAATAGAATTACCATGTTTTGTTTTGTGTTTTTTTTTGTGTGTGTGTGTGTATGTGTGTGGTATGAAGGACTAAACCCAGAGCCTAGTTCATGCCAGGTACTTTACTACTAAACTATAATCCCAGCCTGGGAGTACCATGTTTTTATACATTTCTTTTCAAAAAAGCGTGTCACCTTTGCCTCCTCTAATGGTGAACATTATAGGCAAGCATCTTGCTTTTCAAACAGTTCTAAGCCATCTACTTAAAGAATTCATCCTCTCTTAAATAACCATGACCCTCCTTCTTTGGCCCTATGAATACTACAGGAAGGAAAAGAAACACAGAATACACACAACTTTAAATTCCCATGTAGAACTAATAAGGTTAAATCAGTGGGATCAATAAAGCCCAGGAATTAGAGACCAACCTGGGCAACATAGTAAGACCAGGCTTACAAACAAAAAGTTCAATACAAGATTAGAAAAGGTTTGCTTTTTGTTGTTATTGTTGTTTAAAACTATGCGAAGGCTTATTCTTTCATGTATTACTTTTCATCTCTAAACAGTTCTCAGGAGACTAAGAGAATAAAATTTCCAGGAGCTGTATGATGAATGAATCCTTTTTTATATTTGGTAGTGGGAACTGAACCCAGAAGCAGTTTATTACTGAGCCACAGTCCTTTTTATTTTGAAAAAAAAAAAAAAAAAAAGGTTGCTGAGGTTCTTGCTAAATAGCTGTGGCTGGACCTCAAATTTATAATCCTTCTCTCTCAATCTCCAGAATTGTTGGATCACAGTCCATGAATCTCTATTTATAAAGTTGTAGTGGAGTGGCTGGGGATGCAGCTCAGCGGAGAGTAGCTTATCTGGCCTACCATACACTGGGTCCTGGGTTTAGTCCCACCCCTGGATTAAAAAAAAACAGTTTAGAATTTCCTCTCCAGATAAATGTCAATATAAAGTTTTTACTCATTTACTGGTTAATAAAAATACACATTATTTACTAAATCAAATCAAGAAATATGTAGTGTGAGCCAGGCACGGTGATGTAATGCCTTTAATCCCAGTGATTAAGGAGGCTGAGGCAGGAGGCTTGCTAGTTCAAGGCTAGCCTCAAGCAATTAGCAAAGACCCTGAGCAACTTGGCGAGACCCTGTCTCAAAACATAAAAAAGGCTGGGGATGTGACTCACTGTTTAAGCTTCCCTGGGTTCAATCCTCAGTACAAAAACGAAAGAGAAAAAATATGCAATGACTTTATGGCAAAAAAATGGTATGCGCTCTACATTCTATGTGGTTTATTACTTCTCACGAACCAGCAACGAATACCAAAAAACACTTTTACATGTTTTATTAGCTGTTTGTCCCTCTATTACACTGAAAATTAGTCACACTCATCTTTATAGTCCCAACACCTAACGGTATAGTAGGTTGCAAAATCTCTGAATTAACGACTAAAAAGAAACAATCACTTAGAATACACATTAACCTCGGCAAGGCCCAAGAAAACCACTGCTAATCAGAGTAGAAATATTTAGGAGCTCAATACATATTTTTTGTACGAATTTAAAATAAACATCACTATAGGATAACTCCAAGATAACAAGCGTGCAAAGCTGGAAGGAAAAGAAAATGCCAATGAACATTTTCCACGTGCTGTAGCAAAAGCTGTAGGTACATTCGCCAAACTCACAGCTCTATAAAGCACGAATTATGATCACTATTTTAGAGTGAACTGAGTTCTAGGTTTAATGGCAAAAGTTTCAAAGCCTTACGCATGCGCCCGGGTAGTCACCTAGACCTGTCAGGTTCTGAGGCCTGGGCTCTTAACCCCTTCCTCTACCATCTCCCTCACAATTCAGAAGTCAGGACATTTTTAAGAGATTGGAATAAAAGCGGCAACGTCTCCGTCCCTCCTCTCACCCTGCCGCTCCCAGTTGCGGGTTTCCCTCTCTCAATCTCCCAGCCGAGAAGACCCATCCAGGCACCGCAGGCAAAGCGCGTTAACGGGAGCGGTCACCAAAGGAGAGATGGCAGCACAGGCAATATCGCTCTCCTCACAGGGCACCCTCTCCCCAACATTCCCCAGGCAGTGTCCCAACGCACTTACATAACTCGATCCAAGGCATCCATGACTACCACAGCCCCAGACTCGAGAAAGGGAGAAGTCGCACGGTTACACCAAGCGGGCGCGTGCAACCTAGCAAGCGGAACCGGAAACCGTAGTGACGATACTTCCGGAGGCTGCCCCGCCCCTAGCGGCCATCTTGGGTCAGATCGCGTTTTGTTGCCTTGGTTACCTAGCTCTGGTTCTTTCCCAGAAATTGAAATAATACTTAAAATGACTTAGCCCCTCAGCTTGATGTACACGCTCGTGTGTACCTGGAGTAAGGTATTTAGGGAACACAGGATATCAAAAAGGTTGAAAGGGTGATGAGTACTCATGTAGTAACTAAAAAGCAAAATGTGAAATATCACTAATAGAACTTTAAGCTCCGATAAGGCAGTTTTCTGCTTTTTTTTTTTTTTTTGGTGGTGGCGCGGGGGTCGGGGGTCGGGCCGAGCATCGTCTCACTAACTTAGGGAGCCTGGCATGGAATTTTCCGTCCTCCTGCCTCAGCCTCCCTTGTCAATTATATTACTGGCATGTGACACCTGCTCTCCAAGACAGTTTATGACAACCGTAGTTGCCTAGTATATAAAAGGCATGCCAAAAGACCGCTGATCGTGAATTTTTCCCAAATATTTTAAGTTTTTTGTGGTTGTAGATGAACACTATACCATTATTTTATTTGTTTCCTTATATGTGGTGCTGAGGATTGAACCCAATGCCTCACATGTGCTAGGCAAGAGCTCTCTACTACTGAGCCACAACCCCAGCCCCCAAATTACCATAAAATTCTCGCCTTTATGTGTACTATTCAATGGGTTTTGTTACATTCACAAAGCGATGCGACCATCAACAGTAATTCCAGAATATGTTATCGCCTCAAAAAGAACCCCACCTCGGCTGGGTACCGGAACACATGCCTGTAATCCCAGCGGCTCCGGAGGCTGAGGGAGGAGCATCGCAGGTTCAAAGACAACCTCAGCAAAAGGTGAGGTACTAAGCAACTCAGTGAGACCCTGTCTCTAAATTAAAAAAAAAAAAAAATAGGGCTGGGGATGTGGCTCAGTGATCCAGTGCCACCAAGTTCAATCCCCAGTACCAAAAAAAAAAAAAAAAACCTCACCCCACCCAGTAGTATTACTACTCATTTTCCCCTTCAACCAATCCCTGAGAACCACTGAATCCACTTTATGTTCCATGGCTTAGCCTATTCTGAATATAAATATGTGCATGCGCACAAGTACTCATATGATGTGCCTTTGTGAGCCTGCAATCTCAGGGACTTGGGAGGATGAGGCAGGAGGACTGCAAATTTGAGGCCAGCATCAGACCCTGTCTCAAAATAAAAGACTTGTGTGGATAGCAGCAGACTGTGCTTTGCTCTGAGTTCCTACATGACATATGGAACAGCAGTTTTCAGGTTGTACCTAAACCTGTTATATCATTTTGTAAAGTAGTAGTTTGCCATTGAATGCTGAGGTGGAATGACTATAGTTTGTCTACACAAGTAAACATAATATCTGCTTGGCACAGTCTGCTCAGTTAATTGTGCTAATAAGAATGACCACCTGGGGCTGGGGTTGTGGCTCAATAGCAGAGCACCAGAGCACGCACCAAGCTTGTGTGAAGCATTGAATTCGATCCTCAGCACCACATAAAAATAAACAAACAAAAGTGTTTTTAAAAAATAAAAAGAATGATCACCTGTGAGCTTAATGAATTAATCAGAAGTACATGGATGCATGGGATATAAAACTCATATTGGAAAAAGGAGGCCTATGAGCTTTATTGAACACCCCAGACCACCAAATAATGCAACCCCCTTAGCTTGAGGACCATAGGAGAAGCACCCCCAGATTGGACACAGTGGCAGTGGCACCCTGACCCGATCACCTGGTTATTCATGAGTCTTGCCCAGGAAAATCACCCATGACTAAACCTCTGAATCTCTCCTTGGGTTTTAGCAGAGTGGTTTCTCCTCCCATGATAAGCAAGCAAGTTCCACTCTACATAATACTGTGAAACTGTCCTAGGCCTAGAATAACTTCTTGTGCTTTGACAGCTCTGCACCCTGAGCAAGTTCTTTGGCTGGTTCATAATCTTATCTGACCACCTACATAGATTATTTATATTTATATCTGCTCTCTGCCATTGCTCTCATGAAGTTCAGACTCCTGAACTCCTGTGGTTGCCTTAACCCTTAATTCTTAATTTCTTATATCTATAACACTTAAGCCACGTATCCCACTAGGTGGGATAGATATTAGAAATTAAGATTGGAATAAAAAAAAAATGTGTGATTGCCTGGCTTATAACTACCAAGTGACCCACAAGTATTCAGTGAAGTGCCACTGAGGAAAGTGAGGTAGCCTGTGGATTTGTTTTACAATGAATTCTGAGATCATAGAAAGATACAAAGTGTTGATCTATGTTTTTTGTTTTTTTTTTAGTTTTCGGCAGACACAACATTTTTTTATTTGTATGTGGTGCTGAGGATAGAACCTGGGCCACATCATGCCAGGTGAGCACACTACCTCTTGAGCCACATCCCCAACCCAGTGTTGATCTATGTTAATGATGTAGTACGCTCAACAACTGGGATGTAGCTCAATCGCAAAGCGCACCAATCCTCAGCACCAAACCAAACATAAAAGCAGGATAAAATCTTGGTGTCTGGTTCCGTTTTGCATCTCTTTTGTTGAGTCATTCTCTATGGCAGTCACCAGAAACAATAAGTCTGCTACAAGATATTCAAACAAAATATGACAGAATTCAATGGAGAGCCTAAGGAATCTGGGATTGTTCTGGATTGGTGGCTATTTCTGACATAGTTAAAAGTAGGACTTTACTTGGGTTTGGATGTCATAAGGTGAGAAGAACTTAGATGGGTATAATGTATTTGGTTTCAGTCATTTCTTGACACTCAGCCCCCCAAATTCTTGTAATCTCTGAAATAATTTTTCTTTTGGTATGCTGAGATACTGTAAGTGATGGTTGGGGGAATCCTGGATAGCCTCAAGATAGGAAATGGTTTCCAAGGGAATAATCACATGATTAATAAAAGTTTGGAACTTTGAGGCTTGGGTTGTCACTCAGCAGTAGCGCTTGCCTCACACGTGCAAGGCACTGGGTTCGATCCTCAGCACCATATAAAAATAAATAAATAAAATAAAATTATATAAAAAATATATATTAAAAAAAATTTTGGAACTTTCAGGACTGAGAATGTAGCTCAGTGGTAGAGTGCTTGCCACATGTAAGTCCTATGGCTCAATGCCCACCACAGCAAAACAAAAACTAAAAACAAGACAGCTGAGCATGGCATGACTGATCCCAGCAACTCAGTAGGCTGAGTTCAAGACCAGCCTGGGCAACATAGCAAGACCCCAAGGCCCCACCTCAAGAACAGATAGCAAGAATGTTGGAATTTTCAGTCCCACCCTCTGACCTCCAGGGATTGAAAACTGACTTAATCGCCAATATTCAACAATTTAGTCTGTCATGGCTACTAATGAAGCCTCCACAAAGCTCCCAAAGGACAAGGTTTGGTGAGTAAGAAATGATGGGAGAGTGGTCTGGAGAGGAAATGATGTTCCACATCCCTTCTTGTTATACAGCTGTTATATCTGGATGTTTTTGAGTTATGTCCTTCTATAATAAACCTCATAAACTTTTCCAAGTCATTTTTCCAAGTTCTGTGAGCTGTTTAAGCAAAAGATTGAAATTGAAGAGGGGGCTATGGGAATATTCAATTGGTATCCAAGTCAGATAGAAGTTGTAGGTAACCTGTGGGTCTATCACTTGGATTAGTATTTAAAAATGAGGAGGCAGCAGGCAATCTTATAGGATTTAGCTCTTACCTGTGGAATGTGACACTAATTCCAAGTTGATAGTGTCAAAATTGAGTTAAATTTCACATTTGTAATCCTAGCACTTGGAAGGCTGAGGCAGGAGAATAGCAAGTTTGAGGCTAGCCTTAACAACTTGGCAAGACCCTGTCCCAAAATAAAAACTGAAAATAACTGGGGATGTGGCTCAGTGGTAAGGTTCGATCCCCAGTATGAAAAATAAACTTCCCTTTCCTTAAGTCCCTCCTTTGAAATCTTAAAATTTAACCGTGGTCATTTTCTCTGATCTTCAATGAAACAAGCAAGCCAGGTTACCTTTCTGGCAATAACTATTTTCCTGGTTTTCAGCAGAGAAGCCTAGGGAAGGAATCCTGGAAAAACAAAAACTGAAAAACTACTGATCTTAGTTCATTGGTCAAATTGGCCCAATCATGTACTTTTCCTCAATTATGCCACCATCACCACCACGCTTACCATAAACATATTTTCATATGTACTCAACTTGGTTTTCTTCCTAATCAACTTCCAACTTACTTCCTTAATAACAAAGCCACTTGAAAGGATTACATTCTTATAAAAAGTCAACAAATATTTTTTTACCTCCTAAGTCCCAGGCACTGTAGAAATACAAATATTGATCCCAACCTTGAGTTTTCAGATCTGGATCAATTTTGAATTATTGACTTTTCTTCTCATTATGGGTTTTATCTATTTCTTTCTATACCTGGTATTTATTTATTTTTATTTTTTTTAATAATCACTTTACTGACTAAGCTATATTCTCAGCCCTGATCTGTAATCTTTTTAAAAATTTTTTATTTATTTTTTAGTTTTTGGCAGACACAACATCTTTGTTTGTATGTGGTGCTGAGGATCCAACCCAGGCCGCACGCATGTCAGGCGAGCGCGCTACCGCTTGAGCCACATTCCCAGCCCCTAAACCTGGTATTTATTGAATGTTAAGACATTTTGAATTTAATTGGGTATTAGAGATGTTAAAAAACATTCTCAAGTGTTCTGAGATGCAACTATTTGGAAACAGTTTGATCCTTTCAGGTCTTGTTTTTAAGCTTTTGTTAGGTGGGGAAAGAGCCATATTTAGGCTCATTTTATCTCACTATTGAGACAAAACCCTACTAAGTGTTCTATCCCATGCTCATGAACTAGGAGGTTTTTCTAGTTAAGCTCCAGGGATTGTTCATGTGGTCCTTTCCCCTGCTCTGGTGGTTT